TTTTACTGGTAATATTTTTCTTTTTATTTATTTATTATTATTTTTCTTTATTATTATTTTTACTGCAATAAATTGCAGCATTTAAGTCATAGATAGCCTTCAGTGGGGACCAGCTGGATTAACTCATCCAGCAAGCAGGGTCTGGGGAGCTACCCCAAACTGGGTACACTACCCACAGCACCAAATAGCGCAGAGCAATTACTGGAGGAAACTGCTCTGAACCACATGAAAAATATTAGAAATTGGAGAGAGAGAGAAAAAAAAAAAGAAAAATCACAACCCAATTTTAAAACCAGTGATGCCATTTGCGAAGGTAACTAGCTCTTGCATCATGCCAGTTCACCAAATTAATTCTCTGATAGTAAGAAAAAGGAAGTATCCGATTGCCCCATACTTCTCAGAAGCAACAGGCAAAATAAGAGACAGAACTGAGAAACACTCACTACCTCTGTCCAAGAAAGGCCCAGCAAGCAGCACTCCCTCCATCCATGTTAACAACACCAGGAGGGACTCCCTTGCTTTGCCGCACTTAAGGGGCTCGCAGCAGGCAGCGTGCTGGGAGGGAGCAGCTTCTAAAAGGGCAGCCCATGTAACCTAGAAATTATACTGGTTTATTTGGAAATGTCATTTCCAATCCTCATTTGTGCTGGGCATCGCTGCATGTTACACTTGTACATACATATGAATGAATTAATGAGTATGTATCTCTGTGTGTACGTATATGGCAAGAAGGGTTTCACTTTCTTGTAATAGCTGCTTCTCATTGCAGAAATAACACTACTTATATTTTAAACCACAATACTTACTTTAAAAGCAGATCTACTGCTGCTCTTACAAGTACACTTCTCTCAAAGTGAGACAACAAACTGTCTCACACCTCACATTTGCAAGGGTACCTCGTTTGGTGGAATCACCTTCTGCTGCAGATGAAGGCAGACAACCAGCCCTGGTGGACCCCAGCTGAGTGATTGCAGAACACTGCAGCACTAGCCTGTCCTGGCCCAGGTCACAGAGCCAACCTGAACAGTGACAAGGAACCTGCCAGTGACTGGTGGGGAGCCGGTAGCAGCCCCATGAGTGCAGCTGAAGCCCTGCTGAAACCCTCCAGAGGTGTCTGCAATGTAGGAACTGCAGTCTGCTGCAGTAACACGTCAGCCCAGGAGTGAGAGATGCTTTCACTTTGGCAAACAGAGCTAAATCAATGCGTGCCCACTGGGCATAATCCTCACTCCCCCAGATGCCCCTAAACTAGTCTTTGCTTAGAAATGTTTAATTCAAAATCCAGATTGCTCTGGGAACATGGGAAAACGGATGAGGAGAGTCACAAGTAGGTGACTCTTAGATGTGACTGGGATGAAGGTGCCAGTCTTGCTGCATCGGTAGCTATCCTAAAGCACTGCACAGCCAAGCAATACCTCCTCCAGCACACCCCCAGCACTGATTTCTTGTGCTTTTTCTTGTCTTTCAGGTTTCTGCTGCTGTGGAGTGCAGTGCTTATCATGTACCCTACCAGTCTGGCTGTCATTGCGCTGACTTTCTCAAACTATGTCCTGCAGCCTGTCTTCCCTAACTGTATCCCCCCCTATAATGCCTCCAGGATCCTCTCCATGGTGTGTTTACGTGAGTATTTGCTTCTTGCACACACACAAAGCTTGTCTTGGTTTTACATGGGACCACTCAAGGGCCTGCTCCAGCCAGGCTGGGGTCATGGCCACAATCCAAAAGGCAAGCAGGGAAGTCCCAGGACAGTCACTGTGACTGGTGCAGGATATTCAGTCTCTTCCTGCTTGCCTGCAGCAAGCACAGCAGGCTGGAGCGGGGCAAAAAGGCGCCTGAATCCCTGCAGGTCCCAGGGAAATGGCAGCAGGCGAGTTTATGGGATGGGGCAGAGCCATGGGCACCCAGCACAGGTGGCCCACCATTTGAGCCCTTTTCCTAGCCTTCTTTTACATTCTAAAATGTGAGTGTTTAGGAAGCACAGGACACCACTAGCTCCTCATTAATTACAAAGCTGGCAAAAGCAAACCAGAGCTACAAGGACCAGGGACATTCACCATTCCCATGAGGAGATGGCGATCCCTGCATATTGAGCACTGCCCAGGCACAGTAACTAGAGCTGGGGGGAGCCCCAACTGGCAGCACCCAAGGGGGAAAGGCTGCTGGCTGCCAGGGATGCCCCTGCAGCTGAGAGTCTCCTAGGGAAAGGCAGTGCTCTTCCTCGTCCTCACTCCCAGCCACACTAGAGCTCCCCGCAGGGATGTGCAGGTCACTCTGTGCTTTTCAATGCTTTGACTATGTGGTCTTAAATAAATGTAATTTCATGCCACTAAAATTCAGTCTTTTGCTCTCCAGTCCTCCTGACCTGGGTGAACAGCTCCAGTGTTCGATGGGCAACGCGCATTCAGGACATATTTACAGCAGGAAAACTCTTAGCCCTGGCCCTTATCATTATCGTGGGCTTCATACAGATCTTTAAAGGTACTCTGTGAGACAGCTCTATCATGGGTATGGTACTGTTGATGGAAGTAATTTTCTCCATTTACTGTTTTCTCCCTACAAACCGACCCAAAGGAGCGCTGTGTTTAGCTGAGCTGCGGGGCTGTGTACTCACACAGCCACAGAAAGGATGGCACCTCAGAGAAATCAGCTGCATTCCCTCAAACAAGTCCCTTTCTGGCCCGTCTCTTTGGTTTTGATGGAATAAATGCAGCTGAGGATGTTTAAGAATAGTTACTGAAATTTTTTAATCTGTTGTTTGTTCTTTAAATTTGAAGTGCCCTGGGTGTAAAATGAATACAGGCACTAGTCCAATTTCCTACAAAACGTCACTTATAAGATTAAAAATAGGCAAAAAACAAGGTCTCGCTGACTCACCAACTTAACGGAAAGCAGAAAACACAAAAGGCTCACAATGTTTTTATCATGTATATGATGAGTCATATAAAGGAAGATAAAGTATGATATTTGCAGAAAGCAAACGTGTTTTCTCAGTGGTAATAGTCCCACAGTCTTCCAGCCCCATAGACGTTTTATTTTTCAGTATTTCTACTAAACACCACCAAACTTTTGTAAAAGAAAACCGCATTAAGAAGAGGTAGGGACTGACCCTACCAAGGAGCCATGCTCAGGCAGTGCAGGTTGGTCCGATGAGGCACAGTGGTGGCCCCAGTGCAATGAGGGATGCTCCGAGTACAGCCCAAGCTGCCTCCCCAGGACACCACCCCGCAGAAAGCCCTGCAAGTGCAGTGCCAGCCCATGGTGACATGAAGAGCGTGGAGTCCCAAATCCAATAAAGACTAAAAATCAAAAGTTCACCTGTTCCCCGGTGTCTTTGGTAGGTAGGGGTGATTTAACCTCTTGCTTGCGCTCTCTGTGCAGGAAACTACAAAGAGCTGACACCAAGCAACGCATTCAATTTTTGGATGACTCCATCTGTGGGGCATTTAGCTTTAGCTTTCCTTCAAGGGTCATTTGCATTCAGTGGCTGGAACTTCTTGAACTATGTAACAGAAGAACTGGTTGATCCCCGCAGGCAAGTATCCAATTCTGTGCCATCCACACTTTCTTGAAGTGTTGAGACATTGGAGCCATCTGGTAATATTATTCATTTCATAAGCTGTAGCAATATCCTCCCATGACTATGGGACCTGCCTTTCTAAAGGACAGAGATTTTTTGTTTAGAATAGATAAAAGGCAAGTTAAAGAAACACTGGAATTAAAAATATATTGCATAAGGAATTAACTGAATCAAACCAGCCTGTAGACAAAGCAACAGCTTTACAGCACTATTCAATCATACAGTGCTTCTACAGCAAAAAATAACCATCAGTGAGATGCCATTCAAGTGTCTATAGGGAGAATGACTTCTATCAGAAAAACGTGGAACTATGCTTGAAGACCTTTGCATTTTCACCCAAAGGGGATCTTCCACAGACACCAGAAGGAGAAGATCAGAAAGTCATTTTGTGGCTGTGGGCACCTGCCCCCTGGGGCAACCGGCATCATGCTGGTCCTGGGCATGGGAAGGGGCTTGGAAGTGATTTAGCATGAGCAGGCTGGAAAGCTGCAGGGAAAATTAATGTTAGTTTAGTAAAGCAAAGCTCAGATGTTTCGACGTTTCTGAGCTGATGAAGTGGAATGACAAATGCCAAGAGCAGCTCTCAGAGCATCAGTTATTTCTGGGCATCCAAGGCACACAGCAATTAAACAAGGAGAAATTGAAGCTATTACAGTGCCTGGGTGGGAATGAATTAAAGCTGCAGCTTTACAAGCAGCTCTGCACACACCTCACGCTAGTGAGTGGCAAAGTGCTTGTCCAGAGATCTTGGCAGGAATAAAGCAAGTGTGGTACAGTGCTCCCTCAGTAAAACGCCAACATTTTAATGGACCACCACAATTTCAAAGCTGAATAATGAGAAGTTATTACTTAAATAAGGCAAATGTGGCCTCAGTTGAGAAATAAAAAGGAGTGAATAGCTGTTTTTATTATTACTGTTGCAGTCTCTGAGGTGAGACTAAAATATACAAAAATACTTCCCATTTTTGCTGCATCTGTTCAAAATCACAAAAGTTAAATAATCTTTTTAAGGACTTTTCTTTCCCAAATCTGACACACAGAGAGAAATCTGTTGTTACCTGAGGCACAGGATGGCTCAGGTGTCCACCTCTAAGGAGGTCTCTGGATTGGAGGTTAAGTACATCTGTTCTGCTGTAAGTTGCCACTGTGTTTTATGACCAGACCAAGTTTACAGCATGGGACAGGCCAAGGCAGCTGCTTGAAGAACAGGATCTTGTTCCTTTTCAGAGCAGGGGAAAGTAAAGCAAAACAAGGCCTTTCATTGCACCACTGGTGCCTGTACATACAGATGTACATGGTGGTTGTGGTCTCGCTGTACATGACTGTAATTTCTTATCTCCCCTCCTAATTCTTTTATTAGGAACCTACCTCGTGCCATATTCATATCCATCCCATTGGTGACATTTGTGTATACGTTCACCAACATTGCATATTTCACTGCCATGTCACCCCAAGAGCTCTTGTCCTCCAACGCTGTGGCGGTAGTAAGTAAACCATTCCCTGGATGTCTAAAATACACTTTGATTTTGGTTCTGTGCTTTGCAGTGTATTTCAGTTTCTCTGCCTTCTGTTGCTTTAGACATTTGGTGAAAAGTTACTGGGCTATTTTTCCTGGGTTATGCCAGTCTCAGTGGCCCTATCTACATTTGGAGGAATAAATGGATACCTTTTTACCTCATCAAGGTTAGATGGAGTACAATTTTATGAACGTTATCTAATTTGGGGAGGGGCTGCTTTAATTTCATTTGCTAAAGAAATGCTAGCTAGACATTTTGGATGTTGTAGAGCATGAGGTCGTTGTTGGGCATGTTGGATACATTCAGTTATGAATTGCTCTGTTTTGAATCAGCAAATGTAATATTGGATCGCAGAATCTCTTGCAAAATAATCCTTACGAGCTTCTGAAATTGTCTGCAGATGTGGAATAACTCACAGTAAGAGCCTAACACAGCTTTAGCATGGAACCAAAGTCATTTTACATCAATAAAGTTCCAGTAGCTACAAGCTAAACTGTGCTTCATTCAACGAGCAATTTCAGGGCCTGGTGCTGTTCCCAGTTACAGACATTTTCATTCTGTACTGGAAAAACTCCTTTCACGCAAGATGTTTTGCATGCACACTGCTGATAGTGGGGCCAGAATCTGTAAAGTGTATTATAGTGTAGTCTATAAAATCCATTTATGTTAACTGACCTCTCTGAACTTAATTAGAAAGTTATAAAAAAAAAAAATTTAAGGAACAACTCAAGTCTTAAGTACCTTGGGAAGTTACTTATCTCAGCACTTTCATGAGTACAATGAGATGCCACAAATCTGACTGCATATACAACAGGTTATGCACTTAAAAGTGAAGTTAAACTTCAGGCATGTTAAACCTTATTTACAACCTTTTTGACACTGGAGATACTATCTATGAGGGGTTTTGTGCCTTGGCTACGTATGGCTGATCACCACACAGCCTTCACAGTACTCATCCCACCCTGAGTTAAGGAGGCAATGCTGATTCGCAGACAGGGTCTGGACTTTGGTCCTCCTGCTCAGAGGTAATTTGGCATCTCAAAGCAGGTCATTTCACAGATGCTATTAGCCATTAAAGGCCTCATATACTGAAGGGTCTGGTTTCAGTAACTTACATCAGGTTACACAGGCAGCCTCTAGTCATGTCCCCAGTTGCAGCCCAGCACCCATAGGCTGCAGCTGCCTTTCATGGCAACGCAGGTGGCTGAGGTTAGAGATGTTCTATGGCTAGATACTGACGAGGCTGTTGTACAAAACTGCTCTCATTTCCAGGTTATGTTTCTCTGGTGCTCGAGAAGGCCATTTGCCAAGTCTGCTTGCCATGATCCACGTCAAGCACTGCACACCCATCCCTGCCCTGCTCGTCTGCGTAAGTTTTACTGTCTCTGCTCTGCCTCCCTGCAACCCGCTTTCAGAAATACTAAATCACAGGGAGGAGAGCTTGAGATGCCATTATACCCCCATTATATTATAGGAGGAGAAGCAAGTCTCCCTGGAGGGCTGCTGGTGGGTGCTGGCCAAATAGCAACAGGAGCAACCTTCAGCCTCAGAAATACCTTCAGCCTGCTACTAAGAACCACCCTGGGCACCTGGAGGGTTTCCTTCATATCTAGCTTGAGCTGCAGTTTAAGCCCATTACCATTTGTTCTACCCACAGCAGAGATAGAGACTGGCTTTTGAAACAGGCACTTCATTTAAGAAAGGAGGAGCTCTTTTGACAAATTTTGCCTGCTTTTCACACGCATTTGGGAACAAAGAGCTTCATACACTTTTATCAATAGTGAAGTCAGAATATGTGATGGGGTTTACTGCAGCACAGAAGACATTACAGAGGAAAATTACTCTCCATGTTGCTGTCCCCTGCTGCATGGCCTGAGAAAGGGAATTCCCCAAAGGGCGTTTATTTGAAATCTTGGCTACGTCAACTACTGCTAGCTGCAGATTCGCCACTGTTATCAAAACAGGCAGGTTTGACCCCAACTGCACTGAGAAGGTGCACATCTGTGTGCCTCCCAGCTCTAACAGCAATTCTGGCAAAGTACACCCAGACCAAATTTTAACAAATAAGCCTCCTGCACATTCTGCTTTTATGACAACATTTGTGTCTAGCTGAGGCTTTACAGCACCCCCAGGGCTTAGTGCCCACCACAAACACCTCATGTGTCGCCCATGCAAGGTTTTGGGGCAGCTGAAGACCCCTGGTCCCACTATGGGCTTCTTCTGGGCTGCTGGTGCCAATGAAGTTAGAACTCTTTTGTCCTTAAAAATACATAATTTGAAATTACACAGAGAGTGTCAGAGGCTGCTCCACCGCAAAACAGCTGGATGATCCGTCAGGCGTACACCAGCTCCCTGCTCCATTCAAAACATCCTCCTTGATTGATTACAGTGCAATCACATAACAAATGCTACAGATCAGTTAATCACTTAAAGGTGTTTTAAAGTAGCTCAGGGTATATCATGTCATAGGAAATAATAATTTCTTAACAAATATAATACAGAGTAGATAGCTACAATAGCAAACTGAGTCAGACTTCAGGCAAACCTAATTAGTACCCCAGGTTCCTTTTTCTCTTCCAGTGAATCACACCCAGCTCTTTGCAGGAGAAAGGTTTCTTTGTACATGAAGAAAGGCCTTTTTAACATCACCAGTGAGGCCTGTATTTTTACTAATCCTTTCAAAAATCAAGGGACCAAGCTAGGTGTAAAATAAACAGACTGGGGGTTTTTGCAATGCAGTGGGGAGCACCCAGCTCTCCCGCCTGCTGGGTGGCTGTGGCCAGGCAACTGGGGGAGCAGCACAGCCCCTGCAGCCTTGTACCACCCAGGGCTCATGCCCACACCGTGAGCAGATCTGACACATCGGTGTCACCTATGCACAGAATCACAGCGCTCCAAGCAGCGTCGCTGTAAAACCTGTGAGTGGCAGAAGAGGGTCATATGTGTCTACGATACTGTCAGAGGAAAGCCGGGAACATGCTATGCGGATATAAAACACTCTCCTATTTTAAATCCGTTTTGTGGTGATACTGCTCAAGGTGTTGAAATCCCCCTGCCAAGCCTGCGAGGCTTTGAACAGGGGAATGGAAAGACCAGAGTGTTGTTTGATAGCTGTGGTGCTTAATTCCTGGTGCTGGTGGTGCAGAAGCCCTCCCTTCCGAAAGGACTTTGCTACTGGAACAGCAAATTGAGAAAAAGAGACATAAGCAAAAAGAGAGCCTGGAGTAACAGACCAAAAACCTGAGCACTCTCTGAAGGGATGTGGATATTTAGTTTCCCCCAGGCTCTGGCCACCAGCAGACAATGTTCACAGGACCAGTATGTGGTGGAAGCCAGGGCTCAGCTCCCAGCGTACTGATAAGCAGCAGTGTGGGACCCAGGGAGCCAGCTCTCCTGGCTTCACACAATATAAACAAGTTTATAGCATGGAAATTTCCACCATCAATCTGCCAGCTTCCAAACACAAGTAATGCTCAAAAGATTAATGATGCCAGTCATCTGCAGAATGAGCTGTGGGCCGGCGGGGATAAAGGGCAAAGCTCATTCTTCATAATATACAGGGCACCTGCAACAACGTAGTGCACTGACCACAACATGTTCAGTCTGCAAGAAATCCTTCTTCCATCAGCAGTTCTCACCATAGGGGTCAATAGCTTTTAAAACACGCAACAGGAATGGGTAGAGTAGAGCGACGGAGAGCTTTGACAGCCCTCCCAGCCCTGCCTGCCCAGTAATGGGCAGCAGAGTCACCGCTGCCAGCACCTCGGGGTATTTATAAACAGATCCTCTGATCTCTGGCTTCAGGACCCTAAATCCCCACTCGCCCCCAGTAGCACAGCTCAGGGGTAATGCTCTGAACCACAGGAAGCAGCAGATACCCAGTGGGGGCCATAAACAAAAGGCATTTAAATGCTTTAATGAGGTTCTTGCTTGTTTTTGTTAGGTTTCAGCTACTCTTTCTAGCAATGACTCAAGGAAAGCTATACTTCTCTCTTTTCAGTGTATGGCCACTCTTGTCATCATGCTTGTTGGAGATACATACACATTAATCAACTATGTGTCATTTATTAACTACCTCTGCTACGGAGTGACAATTATAGGCCTGATCGTGTTACGATGCAAGAAACCCAAAATCTTCAGACCCATCAAGGTGACAATGTTAAAGCTAAATCTCTTGGTTGCAATAGTGATGCAAAGGGTGGGATGGGCACACTGAGCCCCCCATTCATTTTGAAGAACCATTTATTTTTTGATGTAGCAGTAATGTTTTAAGGTCCCAAACCATGTCCCGAAGAGCCATTAGTGTAAAAATGGGATACACAGAGACAACAACAGTGGTGGAGGGAAGGAGGGCGTGACCACGGGGGGGTCCTGAGCCACAGCCACTCAGCCACTGCTGTTGGTCTGCATGGTCATGCTCTGCTCTGCTCTCTCCTGGTAGGTGAACCTCCTCATCCCCATCACTTACCTGGCGTTTTGGGCATTTCTGCTGATCTTCAGCTTATACTCCGAGCCAATCGTCTGTGGAGTTGGACTTATTATCATTTTAACTGGAGTGCCAGTGTTCTTCCTTGGAATCTACTGGAGAAATAAACCAAAGAGTGTAAATAGGCTAATAGGTAAGCTAGTGCCGTGGTGCCTCACTGTGCTCCTGGTTGTGCTCGGGTCTGCAGGTATCTGCTTAACCTCTGAACCAGCGGCACAAAAACAGCAAGGGAACATCCTGTGTGAGCCCAGACACCACTCCTGGTCACAGGCAGCCCGTAGGCACAAAGCTTGCCTGTGGGCAACTGTTTTGCTCACTTCTGATCAAGTTCATTCGCCTCCTTTCATGCCCCTATGCAGCTCCCCATCTGCTCAGCTTGCTCACAGCAGCCTGTCCCAGAGCAGATACACAGGAGTGTAACAGTGAGACACTGGTACAGGGTGCCCAGAGAAGCTGCGGCTGCCCCATCCCTGGCAGTGTTCAAGGCCAGGTTGGACACAGGGGCCTGGAGCAACCTGCTCTAGCAGAGGGTGTCCCTGCTCATGGCAGGGGGTTGGAACTGGAGGAGCTTTAAGATCTCTTCCAACCCAAATCATTCTGTGATTCTATTAAGGCTCAATGAACTATCACAAAACGACTAACAAATGCACAAGAGCTTTCATCCCACTGTGCCACCAGCACACTCCACTGCAGAAGCCCCACATGGCACAGTGAATTATTTCACCCTCAAAAGATAAAAAAGCCTTACATTATCACTCATGTAAAATTAAAACTTCACATAAGTCTTTGATGGCTTGGTTATGATTGGCTTTTAATTGCTTTGCTCCAAGGCGAGGACTTTCAAACAAGCACACTGCAGCCCTTCGCTCTGACCAGCGGTCCCCACCGGTGCTGCAGGGCCAGCGCAGCGCCAGGAGGTCTCGCAGTCATCCCAGCCTGTCCCTGCCAGCACAGCTCTGCAAGGGGCCAGGGAAGGCTGCCCACCTTAACCTGCCCCTGCTTCACCAACACTGTTCTATCGCTGAGCTGCAGATGAGAAGGGTTGGAGGGGCAGTCGCTGTGCAGCAGGACCAAGCAGCCATGGCTGGGAAGATGCACGTTGATTCACACATTGCATCACCCCAGCATCACGCTCTTAGTAGAGCTCAACCATCCCCATTAACCACCCGCACGTTTGCTCTTGCAGAGTCCATGACGTGCTGGGGACAGAAGCTGTGTTTTGTGGTCTACCCTCAGGGGGGAGTTGCCGCGGAGGAAGAGGCACCCTCAGCCCGCTCTCGGCAGCCAGCAAGCGAGACAGACACAAGGAAATAACGGCGTGGTCTCGGAAGCTGCAGTGGCTTCTTGTTTACATGCTGATTTTTGCTAAAAGTTTTTCTGGAAAAAAGAAAAAGAGACAAAAAACGGTTTTAGCGCTCCAGTAGTGAAGCCCGTCAACGTGCTACACCCTTATGGCATCTGTAGCTTTTAGGTTTCCCCCCCAAAAAAAAGAAGAAAAAAAAAAAGAAAAAAAAGAAAAAGAGAGAAAAAAAGAAAAATAAAATATAAAATACGGCACTGGTTGGTTGGGGTTTTTTTCTGGCAGCATACTTGCTCAGCAGGCGAAAGCAGCACAGATACAGCTCTGGAATACTGATTTTAGCTGCTGAGAGGGTCCATCAGAGACATACCAATTCAGGCATTTCAAAAGTAGGGCAGCTCCCAACACAAAATCAAAGTGGAGAAATCAGAAAGCGGTGAGACTGTGGGACACACGTACCAGCGGGAAAATACCTGTTGCTGTCCTTGGGTGGGGCGAATCCCCACAAATCACATAAGGTGTCAAGAGTTCCAACCCACAGGATCATCCCTGTCCGAGCACACAAGCACCAGTGCTTTGCACTGAGCAGTAACCAGTCTTGGACCTTAGAGTCCAAGGTACAAACCCCCGCCTGTCTGACTGTCCTGACTGTCCAGGCATCATTTGGTGACACAGGAAAAATATACATACAGAAGTATATATTTTATATATTTTTTTATATCTCAAGTATCTCAGTTCTGAAGCATTTTTGCAAAGGCAAAGCTGGGTTCCTCTATCCCGATGGGGACAGAGCTCATCGCACCACCTGTTTGAACAGGGCTTTGAGCAACCCGGTCTAGTGGAAAGTGTCCTCGCCCACTGCAGGGGGTTGGAACTGGATGAGCTTTAAGGTCCCTTCCAACCCAAACCAGCCTGTGATACTGTGATTCTATGTCACACTGCTTCAGAGACAAATTCCCCATTTCGACTATACTAAGACAAGCAGCAAACCTAAATCATCCTCACATCTGATGCTCTGTAGAAAGTGTTCTGCATATTTTATTTGTGGTAAAGACCAGGAAAAACCTCTAGTTCACCTGTTTAATTAATATATAGATATTTGCTACTGTAGCAATATAGGCTCTTTCACAACAAAGGATCTTTTGAAAATGCAAAACACAAGAACAGCTCTGGGCAACATTTTGAGTCGCTACCATTCCCCTGCAACTTCTGAAAACAAACCCTGTCACGTTCAGTAGCCTTGGTAACAGCCCTGTAAATTTAATTTTAAAAGCATCTTTCTGTGTATTACAGGCCCTGGTACAAAAATTAAGGATTCATTATCACTTAGTTTGTCAAGTACTGCACGGTCTACAAAGATTTAAGCATGGACTCAAAGTAAGGAGCAAATTCAAGGAGCGTTGTCTGTCCAAAATAATTTATTATTCAGAAGTATTTTTATTTTTAAATACCTATCCATCCCTCTCTGAACTTTCAGATGGAAGACCCTCAAAAGACACAACTTACACTCTGCTCTTTGTATAAAGCTATTAAAAATCCTAAGAGATTAAAATATAAATTTAGCTAAAGAAAAAGGTATGGGTTTGTGTGTACAAATGCACACATGTAAAGCGAGATTCCACATTTTAAATGCTGGTTTGAATATATGAAGTTTGCCAATGAAAATCATACATATTCAGCTTGCTTTTGTTTTTAATTCGCAGCACACCTCCCCTATTTACATTGGCTAAGCAGCACCTGAACACTTCACCCACACTGGACACTCTCGTGGCCAAGTCTTATTTTCCATAGTTCAAAATCCCCATTCTGTGGTATAATTTCCAACAGATTAATTTTTTTCAAGAACTTCATTACCTAGTGGTAAAATTAAATGTATTATGGCACTAGCAATGATGATTGCTTTCAGAACTGAGAAGTTTTGGTGTGGTTTAATTTTTGTTGGTTTAAACAATTAAGGTGTGGAAATCAGCCAGCACTTTGCAGCTCTTGAGACAACAAGACTGCATGGTAATGAGAAAGGTGGTTAATAAATAATAATAATAATAATAATAATAATATGCTACTCAGGCTTTCCTTGGCTATTCTTTAATGAAATCAAAAGGAAAATTAAAGGACCAATCGCCTCCTTTTTGTTAACTGAATTTGGCTCAAATTTTCCCTGATTATACTGCCTTGAATTAAAACAATTAACATTGGTCCTTAAATCAGAAGGCTGAATTTAGAACAGGACGACTTAGTAGAGCTCATCTTCAAATTACATACCAATCCCCAAAAGGTGTTTCAGAATGTCTCATTTCATTTTTAGGAACAGCTTCATCTGTGCTCCCAACATCACGTATATTATTTTTAAAGGCATTGCAAAAGTTAGTTCCCAATGTGTAAAATTTCTAACCACAGAAATCAAGGTACAGCACTAGAAAGATAAATTCATATGCTAAATAAAATTTAGTAGCATGCTCACCCCCTTCAGTTTTCCAAAAAATGAAGCAACAGGCCCAAAGGAGATGTAATTACTAGTATTTTAAAGCCCACCGAACAAGAGAATAACCTTGAGACAAGCACACCAAGAATATTGTGATACTTGATATGGAAATGCAAATTGTTTCCAAAAGAAAGGAGTTTAAACAAAGCTTTAAAAGTAAAGTGATACTATGTAAGACTCTATATTATATGCTATTATATTTATGTAGTATAAAATATTAGAGCCTGCAATGCAGAAAAATATTCTGTGCTGTGTATTCTTTTAACACTGGCAATAATACGGGATTCAGAGAATTTCAGAGAGAAAACACAATGATGCAAGCATTACAAATGGTGTCACGTCTAATTCAGCTTAATGCAAAGTCAATAAAAAATGGATTATTCTTACCTGCATTATCACTGCATTGAGAAAAGCAGCAATAGATCACACGATCACTCTGCTACACACTGTGCAAAATGGAGACGAGGAAGGCAGTTCCTCTCCCAGATAAGACAATGTTCAGTAGGACATAGGAGCTGGGTGGACACTGGTGGGAATCACAGGGAGAATGAGAGCAGCTGCTGCTGCTGCTGGCTTGGCTGCTCTTGAGCGTTTTCACAAACTTGATAAAGGTATTGGCTGTTTTCAGTTCACATTAGTACATAAACCAGAAAAGTTTGATCTCAGCAGCATCAAGGAGAGAGACTTGCATCAGTTCAGAGCTTTCATCCAATTCCAGAATGATTGATGCTTCAGTGTATTTAATAATACATCTGAGTTGGAAGCATCTTTACAAAAAAATGTGTTCAAAAATATGCAGACTGGATGTCATTCACCATGATCCATCATTTCTGAAAGCACAACCCTGACTCAGCCTTCGACCCAGGGACTGGGGCAGGTAAATCCTGGAGGAGAGTTGTGGCAGGTTGGGAAGCCCAGCACAGAGCCCAGTGCCACTGCTTGTTTGTGAACAAGCTGATGCTGTGACAGCAGATGTGCCTCTCCATGACAAAAAGCTGCAGCTAAATAAAATGATTCATCTTGGAGGGGAAGGCAAATAAATGAACAAACAAGTAAACAACCCCTAGCAAACATGCTTTCCCACACTTCATTTTCAGAGGCCTTTGTCAAGGTGTTTCTCATGTTTCACTCTCTCATTTGTGAATTCTTGAAATCTTGAAAACAAACCACATTTGCTTTCCAGCCCCTTTGTACCAAGAGCTAAATAACAAGAAGTTAGCAGTTACTCAGCTGCTGAAGAGCTTCATGAGAGATACTGAAGTACATGTCATAAATGAAAACGTGAAAGAAAATGAAGCGTAAACCTTGCTTTGAGTTTGTCTTTTCCTAAAGCCTTAGAGTTCAGGTGAGTGTGCCCTGTTGCCACCTCCACCTGTGAACACATGCAAAGCCTCTTTGGTTTTTTAAACTTCCCCTCCTGAGTTTTTGGCAGGTCTCATCAGTGTTATACCTTCAATGAGAAAATTCTGCACTTGGACAGAAGAGAAAGGAAAATCCAAAGAGAAGCAATAGAAAGTGACCAAGAGATGCTGAGAAGCCGAAAGGAAATTTGTCTTCAAGTCCTAAGGGAAGAGATAGCGATAGAAGGGAGGGAAATCTAGGAGGCATCGTAAGGCAGGAAAACAGACAGAATGAAGAGGGAATAAAAATTAAACTTCTACCACCCGCATCAGGTTTTTGTTCCCTGTAGACAAAACACAAGAGCTGGTATGTGGGAAGGGGAGGACAGCTAATCCAACGACATTTGCTGTTAGATAACAGGCTGACAAGGTACAGGAGAACAGATGTGGTTTGCTACCAGCAAGGTTCAGGTAACATGCAGCCAGTGTTTGTACTGGGGTTTTTAAATCCCAACATCTGCCTGGGAGATTAAAATTCAGTTTCCTGCAAAGGCCAAAATTCTCAAATAAGCAAAAGCAGTTCTTCTGCTCCCCATGAGAGAAAGACCCAATTGAAAAAAAATACTTAACTCCCTCAAGGCTTTTTGAGCTAGCTCCATGGTTTGTCCTAAGACATACCTATTGCACTGCACAGGCCACCACCAAACTGCAGCAAATGCACAGGTATCATTTGTCACTGTACTTCCATTTCATGGGCTATATTCAACTCAGCCTCCCTTACATCAAGATATGGTTTGTAGTATTACTGCCTGTGCCACTGTCATTGCAGCTGAACCAGCACTTCATGGTGAAGAAAAGCCAATGCTTCCTGCTAGGTTAGGAGGTATTATACCTCTGCACCAAGCCCTGTCCTTCCATCCTTCATTGCCACAGATGCGTACCTAGATGACCAGAAAGTCTGCCCAGTTCTCTTCAATACAGGTAAAGAGTTCCAACTCTGTGGAGTAAATCCCTGTCAACACAAAATAACTCGGCCTCCACCTTCTGAAAAACAGCAGGACAGAGCCAGCGGTACCCTCTGAAGCACAGACTGGGAAGGGGAAGCATCAGCGCAAGCACTGTCCTCAGTGAAGGCAATGAGAGGCTGTACCTCAGACATAACTATTTTTTAACCACCTACACAGCCACACAT